TATGTGTGTGTGTAGGTGATGTAGTGTTTGTAGAGAGTGTGTGTTCAGGGAATGTAGTATGTGTTTGCTTACAAGGAATCTAGTGTGCGTATAGGGGATCCAGAGTGTGTGTGTGTTTGAAGGACCCAGAATATGTATAGGAGATCTAGTGAGCGTGCATATATAATGGATTCAGAGTGTATATAGGGATCTAGTGTGTGTATGTGTGTAGATGATCCAGAGTTGGGTAGAGGATCTAGTGTGTGTCTGGAATGAAATGTGTTTAGGGGTGCTGTGTGTGTGTGTGTGTGTGTGTGTGTGTGTGTGTGTGGGGTGCTGTGTGTGTGTGAGGGGTGCTGTGTGTATATTTATATGTGTATATATATTATATAAATATGTTTGGAAGTATTGTGTATGTGTGTGATGCAGTGTATCGGGGGGTTGTGTGTGTATGTGAGGGGTGCAGTATGTATGTGTGATGGATCCTGTGTGTGAGGTGTGGGTGCTGTGTGAGGGTGTTGTGTGTGTGTGAAGGTGCTGTATGTGTGGGTGCTGTATGTGATTGATTTGTGTGAGGGTGCTGTGTGTGTGGGTGCTGTGTATGATCTGTGTGAGAGTGTTGTGAGTGCTGAGTGTGAGTGCTGCGTGTTATGTGTTTGAGAGTGATGTGTGAGAGTGCTGAGTGCTGTGTGTGAGAGTGTTGTGTGTGATAGTGCTGTGTATGTGTGTGAGAGTGCTGTGTGTGTTGTGTGTGAGAGTGCTGTGTTTGTTGTGTGTGAGAGTGCTGTGTGTGTTATGTGTGAGAGTGCAGAGTGTGATGTGTGTGAGAGTGCAGAGTGTGATGTGTGTGAGAGTGCTGTGTATGATGTGTGTGAGAGTGCTGTGTATGATGTGTGTGAGAGTGCTGAGTGGGAGAGTGCTTAGTGTGATGTGTGAGAGTGCTGAGTGTGATGTGGGAGAGTGCTGAGTGTGATGTGTGAGAGTGCTGAGTGTGAGAGTGCTGTGTATGATGTGTGTGAGAGTGCTGAGTGTGAGAGGGCTGTGTATGATGTGTGTGAGAGTGCTGAGTGTGATGTGTGAGAGTGCTGAGTGTGAGAGTGCTGTGTATGATGTGTGTGAGAGTGCTGTGTATGATGTGTGTGAGAGTGCTGAGTGTGATGAGTGTGAGAGTGTTGAGTGTGAGAGTGCTGTGTGTGATGTGTGAGAGTGCAGAGTGTGATGTGTGAGAGTGCTGTGTATAAATGTGTGTGTGTGTGGGGGGGTAAATAAACAAATAAAAAACTATGGGGGGGGTAAATAAATAAAACTAAGTAGGCATTAAATCCCCCCCTCCCTCTTACCTTTAGCCTGGGAGGGGGGGACAGGCACGTGGTAGCTGGGAGGAGGGGGACCGACACGGTGACATCATCCCTGGTGGTCCAGTGGTGAGTGAACTCTAGCCTGAGGGCTAGAGTTCACTCTCGCGAGATCGGCACGTTGCCATGGCAACGCGCCGGATCTCGCGAGAGGAACCGGCGGAGCTACAAGATAGAGCTCCGCCGGGTCCTCTCCCTCCCCAGCCACAGGTCTGTTTAAATGGGCCGGTGAGGGAGATCTTTGATCTCCCCACCGGCCCTCCATGGCAAACAGCGGGGCCGGCGCTCGGATAGTGCCGGCCCTGCATAGACCGGCAGGGGAGATCCTGGGACCTCCCCTGCCGGCCTCGGCCCATGGCCACCACGGCCCACCGGGCATTTGCCCGGTGTGCCCGATGGCCAGTCCGGGCCTGTCAGTGATAGGCAATGAGCAGCACTGATGGAGGAACTGACCTTTCCCCACAGAGATGCATTGATTCAAGACATCTCTATGAGTACATGCTAATTGGCGTAAGCAGCGTTTTGCCATGCGTGCGCATTAGCTTCCCAATGCTTTCCTATGAGAAAGCAATGGAAAGGCTGAGATCTCAACCAAGGGGCAGAGCATGGGCTGAGCCAGCACCGGCTGAACTGGAATAACGGTACGTTTATTACCTTTTTAAGAGGGGAAGGGGTGTGCTGGTGACCCAAATGGCGTTTTTAACACTATATATGCAAGTTTGTATTCTGACCGTATAGTGTTCCTTTAAATACACTTTTTTTAAAATGTATTTAATGTTTTTATTCATTCTAGTATGTCCAGGACATCAGTGAGTGTTTACAGGGGCATACTTATTGAGAGTCTGTATGTGTGTGTAAATGCAAGACCAAATTAGCATGTAGTTAGTGGGTGAACCCAGGTTTGCATGTGTGGAAGGTCAGTATACGTAAAAAAACAGGGGCATGTAGTGGTTATATTGCGGAAAAGAGGTAATGGGGGTAATAGAAGCCATTAAGTGTTCAGAGGGGGATAGGGGCTGTAATAGGTGCAGAGAACAATGGAGGCTACAGGGGGTAATAAGAACTTTAGTATATATAAGGGTTAACAGGGGATGCAGTGAGTGCAGGGGGTAATAGGATCTGTAGAGGGTAACAGGGGCTAAAATCTGTGCAGGCGGTATAGTTGCTGTAGTGGGTGCAAGGGATAATAAGGCTGGTGGTCCGGTGGCAGAATAAGCTTGTTTACACCCCTGGTGGGTGCAGCCAATCCTGAAGAGCTCCTTCCCTGGCCGGCCATGGTACTGCAGCTGGGTCAGGCTGCCTGTAACACTGATAGAGCAGCTCCGCATGGGGCTGCTCAGTTACAGGCAGCCTGCATGCTTTGTTCAGCTCACGGCAGAGGCTCTGCTCCTGGAGCCTCTGCCAATTTTTTTTTTCCAGCCCACAGGCAGCACTTTCGGACAGGCACAGTGAGAGGCAGCCTGGAGGGTCTTTGATAAGGCCCCTGGGCTGTCTCTCAGTGTGCAACAAGCGCTCTGCTGCTACCAACCAAGGGGGGAACTTATTTAATAACAGGGGCCCGCAGAAGGTTGTGCGGGCCCCTCACTTAGTGCAGGCTGGCTGGGGAGCTTGTTGAGCTCCTCAGCTGAGCCATTACAATGCTGCAGGCAGGCGGGCCCGAGTGCCCGAGTGCTCAGTCCGCCCCTGATGGGATTTATCCTCAATATAATTAGGATGTATGCAGCAGAGAAGATTTGAGCAACCAAGAAACAGTTCATTAATAACTGAGATTCCAGATAATAGATTGAGAGTTATACTTAAGATTAATGTGAGAGATCGGTATTAGTGTCCACTTGATATATGGTAAAGTGTCCGTTCTCCAGTAATCCTCTAGCGGATGAAGCATAATCCTTTTATTTCTTCAAAAGTTTAGGAAGGCTTGCGAGAGAAGATGGGGAAGCCGGCGTCTATACACGGAAGTAGGTCCCACAATCACCAAGCCCTTTGTCTCTGGCGCGGTCTCTCTAAGTAGTGTCAGAGAGCCGCGTCAGAGGGGGGCGGGGCCGGCTCCGCATAGCGGAAATGCCGAACCCGGAACAGATACCGCATGACAGCAGGCTCACTCCCCCTCACATATTGTCACATCCAAGATGGCCCTACAGGATTTAAAACAATGACTTACAATGACCAACTATGCCTCTAGAGATGGCAAAAGATTTGCCACCATCGGCTGGCATGATAATACAGCTCATCCAAAATTTAAGAGTGGACTTAATAAATGATTTTAAAAAGGACTTTGGTGTTATGTATGGAGCCATGGAAAATATTGGGCAACGTACAGAAGAGGTAGAGCATAGACTGCACGCCCAGGAAAAATCCCACCAGGATTAATACTGTGAAGGAGCCGCTATATTCCTTACTTTCAGACGGTTTTGTCCTTATCTTATTCTAACATTGATTTTTGCTTTTAATTTTTCTTTTTGTTCTTTCCTACCTGAATCTAAAAGAACCTTATCTTTAGAGACATACCACTGATCCCTACTCAAGTCCTGAGATAAGCAGGGATAGCTGAGAAATTTTTGTTTTGTTTCCACATTAATGTGATATAGCTCTAAAGCAGACAACCTTTGCTACTTTTATGTTTTCTCCCAAAACTATATTAAATAAGTGATAAAAATTTCCTTTTCCATTCCAAGTCAATTGAGGTTTTTCTCTGTTCAACTACGATTTCAGGACTGCAGGGACCTTCCCTTTTTCTTTATGCTATTTGTTAATTTTTCTCCTTTTACATCTTCTGCGTTTTGATAATTCTTTATTGCTTACATTGGTTCTAACCTGGGCCTAACACCCTGAGATGGAGAATTATTTTTTTTATTCGCCCTCATGGCCCTATCACTTAGCAAAGTTTTTTTTACTTCCCCTGATAGGAGTATTTTTCCAAATTTTTTACCCCCTGTTTTTTACTTTTAATTTTATGTCCATCCATTTTCTTGGGAAAGGTATACAATTCAGCATGACACAGTCTCAAGACATAACTTGTACAATGTTTGTTTCAATTGTTTTAACTAATTTCTTAATGTATCACCAAAAACAATTCTTGTCTAAAATGTTGAATCTCCTAATACTTCTCTTGAGGCGCGGAACTTCGGGCTCACACATTGACAGCAGATTTCTCTCCATTAACCACGATTTTTATTTAGGTCATGGTTATTAAGTTTATGTCATTCAATGTGAGGGGCCTGAACACCGCGCACAAGAGAAGACTACTTTGTAAGGAAACAAAATCCAACAAATCAGATGTTATTTGTGTACAGGAGACTCATTTTAAAGAAGGCAAAGATTATAGGCTTATGTCGAAGTTATTCCCATCTCAATTTCATTGTACTTATAAATCCAAATCTAGAGGTGCCTCTATTTTTTTAATAGAAATGTGGCTTACTCAACAGAAAAGGTAATGGCGGATGATGAAGGGAGATATTTACTATGGACAGGAAAAATTAATAATATTCTGTACACAATTGTGAATTTGTATTTCCCTAACTCAGGTCAACTAGGTTGTTTCAGAAAGGTAATGGATCTTGTGAATGAGAACTTGAGAGGAACTTTAGTGATGTGTGATGACTAGTGACGAACGGTTCGCCACAGACTCATCATTGAGTAAACGTTGACCCTGTACCTCACAGTCAGCAGACACATTCCAGCCAATCTGCAGCAGACCCTCCCTCCCAAACCCTCCCATCTCCTGGACAGCATCCATTTTGAAGCTGCATTCTTAGTGAGCTATCCAGGAGGTGGGAGGGTCTGGGAGGGAGGGTCTGCTGCTGATTGGCTGGAATGTGTCTGCTGATTGTGAGGTACAGGGTCAAAGTTTACTCAATGATGAGTCCGTGGCGAACCGTTCGCGAACCGTTCGGCGAACCGTTCGGGACATCACTAGTGGTGACATGAACTTTGTCATGGATGGTGATTTCGATAATGCAAGGGAAGATTCTGATCAACACCACAGGAGAGATAGTGATAGGTTAGCTGAAAAATGTTCTAAATATATGATTGAATGCAGACTGTATTATCCCTGGAGACTGATGCATGAGAGCGAAAGGGATTTCACATATTATTCGGTTTCTAAAAACATGTACTCCAGGCTGGACAGGTTCTTGATCCAGGGTGCTCTAATCCCACACATCTTGAAATCCAACATCTTAGACATAAACTGGTCCGACCATACTCCAATCATTATGCATTTGGATGAAATTATATCTTCTGCCCCTAACAGACAATGGAAATTAGGCGACTATTTGTTAAACGACGTAGAAAATAGGTCGTCTGCAGAGTTTTGAATGATTATTTTCTGGACAATGTTCCATCGGAAGTTTCTGGCGATTTGGCCTTGAATGCCCACAAGGCTGTGTTAAGAGGCCATTTTATTTCTAGAGCGTCTCACCTAAAGAGAATTAATAATGATAATCTGAGAAATATGGAAAAAGAACTATACAATCTGAATCAGGCAACCAAATCTGGCCCATCCTCTTCCTTATCAGAAATGATAGGAGAGATTCAATTTAAGATACAAAAAGTTTATCTGGCCCGCACAACTCTTATGGTGAGACAACATGGGAAAACATTTTATTTAAAAGGTAACAGGGCCTCAACTCTTCTGGCGTCTAAACTCCGGCATGTGAATGCCCAATCAAAAATAGCATATTTGTTAGATGACAAGGGACAAAAAATATTTCACCCGACTAAAATTAGTGATCAATTTGCAGAGTATTATAGCAAACTTTATCATTTGGAATCGGATTTGAACCTCACTCAGCCATCTGAGGCAACAATTAAAAGTTTTTTAGATAAGGTGTCGTTGCCTCGACTGTCTTCTGATAATCTAAAAAACTTAGAGTGTGACATAACAGGTGAAGAGATAGCCGAGGCAATTAAACTTATGCCATCTGGAAAGGCCCCTGGCCCAGATGGATTTACTATACTTTATTACAAGACCTTTCCAGAAATTTTAATTCCCCATATGAGTAAATTGTTTAATTCCTATAAGTCCGGAGGGAAGATGCCGGGAGAGTCCTTGTGCGCACAAATCGTCACCTTGCCGAAACCAGGAAGAGCTCCAAACAGATGCCCTAACTTTAGACCCATATCTTTAATCAATATTGATTCGAAAATTTATTCTAAAGTATTGGCTAACAGACTAGCTAAATTGATCCCTTTGCTAATTAATAACGATCAAGTGGGTTTTGTTCAAGATAAGCAAGCTCCAGATAGAACAAGGAGGTTCCTAAATTTGTTCCAACACATCAATTTGACAAAAACTCCATCTATGCTCCTATCATTGGATGCAGAGAAGGCGTTTGATAGGGTACACTGGGGGTACTTCTGGAGTACACTGAGTAGGTATAATATACCATTGTCTTTTATTGAGGCAATAAAGGCACTTTATGTTGCCCCTACAGCACATGTTCCGGCCTCGGGTTTTCAACCAAGAACCCTTTCCCTTACTAATGGGACACGACAAGGTTGCCCTTTATCTCCGGTTCTCTATGTTTTGGCAATGGAACCTTTGGCCGAACTAATCAGAAGGACCCCAGAAATTGAAGGCATTAGTATTAAAGGATCCACCCATAAAATTGGTCTATTCGCCGATGATGTTATACTAGTGCTTAGAAATCCAAAAAAATCCCTGACATTTCTTAAAGAAATCCTACTCCAGTTTGGGGAGGTATCCTACTTTAAATTGAATGAATCCAAACCCCAGGCCCTCCCACTTCATATGAATAAATACGATATAGTCACCCTAAAGTCAATCTATCCATTTGATTGGAGAAGTGAATATTTAGAGTATCTAGGCATTAATGTGCATGCCCAAAACTTAAAGAAAGCATGGCCAGACTTACAAAGAGAGATGGAGAGATGGTGCGGGATGGAACTCTCATGGCTAGGGAGAATTGCTTCTATTAAAATGTCCATTCTTCCTAAAATGTTATATTACTTTAGGCTTATACCTCTATCCATCCCATTATCCTTTTTTTTAATAAAATGCATTCAGTTATGTTAAAGTTACATAGTTACATAGTTACATAGTTACATAGCTGAAAAGAGACTTGCGTCCATCAAGTTCAGCCTACCTCCCATTTGTTTTTTGCTGTTGATCCAAAAGAAGGCAAAAAAAACCCAGTTTGAAGCACAATTTTGCAACAAGCTAGGAAAAAAATTCCTTCTTGACCCCAGAATGGCAGTCAGATTTATCCTTGGATCAAGCAGTTATTACCCTACATTGAAAGATTATATCCTTGAATATTCTGTTTTTGCAAGTATGCATCTAGTAGCTGTTTGAACATCTGTATGGACTCTGATAAAACCACTTCTTCAGACAGAGAATTCCACATCCTGATTGTTCTTACAGTAAAAAAACCTTTCCTTTGCCTTAGACGAAATCTTCTTTCTTCCAGTCTAAACGCATGGCCTCGTGTCCTATGTAAAGTCCAGTTTCATCTGGAATAACAAGTCCAGCAGAATCAAGCTCACATCCCTGCAGCACCATAAATCCCATGGAGGTATTGGAGTGCCAAATATCCGGAAATACTATTTTGCCATGAATGCTGCAGTGCTCGTTAGCTTCAATAGTCAAGTAAATAGGCCACGATGGATGGAAATAGAGGAAGCTAAAATTCTCCCATTCCAACTTAAACAATTACCCTGGTTGAGTCCTGAAAGAAGGCCTGGAGTTGCTAAACTATTTCTATCTACAAAAACTACCCTTAAAGCCTGGGATATAGTGTTTAAAAATAATCGTCACTCAGTGAAACTGTATAGGGCTATGCCAATCGAACTACTGAAACACTATATGCCCTCTTTGGACTCAGATCTGTTGAAGAAATACCACTTGAACAATATAGATAGTTTTTTCCACAGCAATACTATTTTATCATATGAAAAATTACAATTTAAACATAGATTGATGAATGACTGCAAGGAAGAATGCATGTTGGTTATTGAGAAACTGAAAGAACTATATAATATATCAGACACCGATAAAAATTACAAAGCGTTAGAATTATCACCATTGGAAAAATTGTTTTTGCACGACCCAAATAGGAAGGGCACAATATCAATGTGTTATTTACTACATAATACCAAACCCACTGTTAAACTTAAGCACATGCTATCTTGGGAGGCGGAGCTGGGCACCCAATATGAGTTAGAGGATTGGTTTAGTTTTTTAAATCATTAAAGGGAATATCTTTTTGCTCTGACCATCATTTTAAAATGTTGTTTCAATGGTACTTAGCTCTGTCGAGACTACACAACATGAACAACATGTATTGGAGAGATTGTGGCGGTTTGGGAAATATGGCCCGCATATGGTGGTATTGCCCAAAAATAACCAAATACTGGAAAATGATTTATGACCTAATCATTAAGGTAGATAGAAACATTGGTACTTTCACATCTGAGCTTGCTTTATTCAAGAAATTCCCTGAGTCCGTCAGCAGAATTAACAAAATAATAATAGGCCACATGCTGATAGCGGCCACCTCTTGTTTGCCTAGGAACTGGAAATCTAAACATATGCCATCATTTAGAGAAGTACTGAACCTACTCCTAGAAAATAAAGCGCACAAACTATCGCATATAAGTAACTTGTACCTCTTTGCACAATTGAAGTATGATTGGGATATGTGGGAAGACGAAATAAAAAAAGCCTATAATCTGTAACAATTTGTCCTATTGTTGCAATGTATCACTCAAATTGTATGCCTTACAATAATACTATATTAATCGCCACATTGGATGGATCTCTCTTTCCCTCTTCCAAGTTTCCCTCCCCTTCCCAACCCTTATTACAATGTTTTTATAATTTGTTGTAATCTTACAAAAAAAAATTTTTTTTTCAATAAAAACTATTTGAAAATTAAAAAAATTAAAAAATTAAAAAATAAAATAAAAAATGAATCTGTCTTCACCACCCGAGGGTCTCGGTGCAGACTGAGGTTGCCCTTATAAGGGATTTCCCATGCTATGCAATTTAACCAGAGCACTCACACATTGGTTGGCTTGTCAGCAATTGTGAGACTTGTGTGTGATAAATTATTTTTAGTGCATTTTTTTTCTGCATCTGTTTTTTTTTGGAATCCGAATTTACTTTTTCATATCATAGCAGTAGCTGCAAATTTTTACTTGACCTTTTTTGAGGCTGAAGCAAAGAAATTCTAAGTAGAAAGAAAACATTTGAAGTTAAGTATGATTTTTTGTTTACAATTATTTACTTATTGTTTGTCCCCTCACTATTATTATGGTGAGGGGGCGAGGTGCAGGTTTTTTATTGAGGTATGGTGTGATTAGGAGCTGTGAACCCATAGGCACTAGGCGGAACTTGAGGACAATTTGTGGGACAGCAACATTGTCTACTCTCTCTGGTATGTTTCATTAGAGCCCCCTCCCACTGCCAATGGGTGGGTGTGTGAGGGGCCCGATAAGTCCCACCATTTAGTATAAATATTAAAGTCCCAGCTCACCATCCATGGCTGAATCTTTGGGGGGGGGAGAGGGGTGGCATTAGGTCCCCCATTTATGAATTGAATAGCCCCCACCCACCACCTATGAGTGAGATCTGGGAAGATAATTGGGCCACAGCTGCATTATTATTATTATAGCCCTCACTCTCTTACCATGGATAGGTGCTGGGATGGACACAAAGTCTGTTCTGCGGACATGCCATCACTTGAATGGTGAGTTGGGGCATCGGAGAGGTTTATTACTTCCCTTATACTAGGCTTAGACAGGTTTTCTTACAAACAATTTTCTCACTGGCTGCTAGTGCTAATAGCAGGGAAATAGTAA